CAATTTATCGCGCTCCTTTCGAGAACGCGCGCGCGCGCGAATCCTACGACACGTGGTCGGAGACAGCGCGCGTGACCGTCACAATATCCTATCGGCTTTCCGGTACCGATCGTGTCTCGCCGTCGATTTTCATCCGTCATCTCGGATGATGCGATCTCGCGCATCGTCACAGCCGTTCGCCCGCGGAGTTTGGGGGGAATAGATAGAGAGCAGATGTATGCGTGTGTGTGTGTGTGTGGCACAATGACATCGGGGTGATATCGGCGTGATATCGATCGGTATGCACGCGCCGATATACGATAATTTTCCCGCGTTTTTCTCCGACGCTCGCGTCCGTCACGCACCACCTACGAGGATCTTATACACGTAGATGCTTAAGTACGTATACGTGTTTGGGAATCGTTTGAGGGAAGGGAGAGGAGGAGGGGGAAGGGAACGAAGGGTGCGTCGTTGTTTACGTACGTTGTTTACGTGGGTGCGTGCGTGGATTGCGCGATGGTGCCTCTTTCCGTTCTCTGCGCGTCAGAAGAGCAAGAAAAAAAAGAAAAAAAAAGAAATCGAAGAGAAGAGAATGATGACTGGAGCAGTAATGTAGTTAAGTAGTTTGCTACTGCTGTCGTCGTTCTGTGTGTTGTTGTTGTTGTTGTTGCTGTTGTAGATGTTGATGTTGTTGCTGTCTTCATTCGTGGGTTGTCGCGCGGCAGGGCTTGCGGCAGTTCCGGCGCGACTCGTGCGGCAATGGCGCATTCCATTCGCTGTTCATTAAAATAATCGACCGATATCGTTTATTATTAATATTAGATATTTGTGTTGGGTCCCAGAGGTTACTGCAACAGAAAGCAGGATTCGGACGCAGGTTAGTCGGCTGCGGACGTCGTCGCGCAATGCAAATTCATTAATTAATTGCGAGAGACTAGAGATATGCAGAGTGTAACTGAACAAACATGTGCACCATCAAATTCTCTGGTCAATTTGGAGACGATTTTTCTTCGGTGGAAATGTCGAGGCACCAATCATTTTCAAGTTATCGATGATTAAAAAAGAACTTCTCGCAACTAAACTTTGTACAGTTAAAATATTAACAAAACTATACATTCTTCGACTAATTCAGGTAGAGTTTACTTTAATAATAGAATTTTAACTTAAGACTTATTGTTAATTACGAAGATACAAGATGGCAAAAATTGATGACCTCTTTCATGACATTTTGCTGAGGAGAAATCGTTTTCAAATTGGTCGTAGAATCTAATGTTTTTTGTTTCAATTACAGCCTGCATATACATAAAAAAATTGGAACTACAACTTTAAACACTTCTATCAATGAACGAGTCACCCAGGTACCTAAAGCAAATTTAAATGCAAATGTGACGGAACTTTTCTCCGTCTGAAGCAAAATACAATAATTGGTATCCCGAGTACTCTCATACATTGATGGAAAAGTTAAAAATTATGACAGAAGGCTTATATTAATCTGGAGAAAAATATACAGTTTCATAAAGCTATGACAGAAAATCTATTGAAATTTATATCATGTCGGAGTATGATAGAAATGTGATAAGATAAATACACAAAAGGACCAACGTCTAGCTTGACAAGATATAATTGGTATCCGTGCATTCTTCCATTCTTTCCTTTATCTCCAATATTTATCGGAGAACGTCAGAATTTTCAATTATATATTTTTGTAGATCCTTCCTCTTTTTTCAAACGAATAATTCCAAAACGCCAATTGTGTCGAGCGAATAATTATCCATGAATGGAAACGATGTCGCGTTTCGTTGATTGTGAAAAAAAAAGAAAAAGAAAAACGTAAGAAAAGAAGAAAAATATTTATCCCATGGCCACCCTGCGACTGAATAAGCGAATGCGCAAGTGCAGCGTGATTAGTCATCGCGGTACGAGCTGATATCAAGCTAAAACGCTCGGCGAGAATTATCCGCGTGAGTCATGCACGAACTGAAAACCGAGCGTTTCTCGGACTCCACGTGTCACCGAGATCATTCGTTCGTCGCTCGAAGCCTCTCGCGAATCGACGATGACGTGGAAAATTCACCACGTCACTCGCCCAGGGCTCTTTCGATTTCTTTTTCTTAGAAATATATTTTATTAGATATATATTTATGTTATATTAAATTATATATTATACAATTTATTTTTCTTACGAATATATAAGATTCAATAACAATTACGCAATTTATAAATAAAATCACTTATTGGAAAACCCCTTTTTTTAGTCTCGCGTGGATCAAAAATTTACTAATTTATAATATATATATTTAAGTAAAAATAAAATAAAAATATTTAACGTCGGAAAATGCTGCTCGTACTTTGTTAATTTCCGGAAATAAACGGCAAAGTAAACGGCTCGTTAAACTGTCATTTAAATTATTCAAATTTTGTTATACGAGTGTGTCTCATTAGCGGACGCGTTGTTTTCTCGGCTTCGTATAACGCTGTTTGTCGGATTCGATTATCGGAATGCGATACACCCGTTACGTATACGAGTGAGGATGTTATTGCCGATTTGTATTCGAATTCGCGATATACAGCGAAGTGGTAATAATCTGCGCTGACAAAGCGCTAGCAAGTGCAACCGTACGTTGAATCTCGTCGCGAAAAATGACCGGGTAAAATCGATTTTTTATGCCGCGTTATAATCTTTTCCGTCCCACATATGCGGAATTGCGGAACGATTTTGTGTGAGACAGATCGATGACATAATAAGAAAATGCATCGCGTATAATATATAATAATTTTACTGAATTATAAGTAATTAATATTACAATATGTAATAAAATTATATAAATTATATATATATTAATTAATTAATTAATTAATATTACAATTATATAATAAAATTATATAAATTTTACATTAATTAATTATTTAATAATGTGACAATTATAACATTTGTGAAAAAATTAAATGAATTTATACAGATTCCCAAGCAACGTTTAATCGTGAGAATACTCATTAGGAGAGTTCGATAAGTTTCCCAGTAGATCGACAATAACGGGGCAATTATAACGAAATACCGCTGCTGCAAAACTTGATTGGCATACGACAATGGAGCTTGTTACGAGTCTAACGAGATTTCGCGAGAGTAAGATTACTCTTTCGCACAGTAAATCGATAAACTTGAAACGTCCTCTGGAAAATTCAAGCCCGCGGTGGTTTCAGGGACATATAGACTCTCTCTTTCCGAACGAACGCGCGCTGTCGATTGCAATTTACGCGAATTACAGGAACGTGTAGACGACGAAGCACGAGGAGGCAACGACCCTTTCCCCAGTGGAAGGAGAGAACTGTTTTCCGCAGTATGCAGCTTGACAGACGCGCGAAAACGCAACGGGGCGCACAATAACGGCGTCTCTCTGTCGTCCCTCTCGCGAGTGCGAGAGTGCATTGAGTGACAAGCCGATAATGATAAGCGCGTAATGCGCGGCGGATGGCTGCGGGAGAGAAACTCTCCGGCTCGGTTAAATCGATGCGAGGGAGAGTCGGAGAATACACACCGGGGGAGAGCCCCGTTAATCAGCGACGCGAACCGGCACCCGATTTCGCACGCGGATATACGTGGACTGACGGTGACTGAGAGAGCGAGATGCACCGCGTTATGTGCAACAGCTCGCGAAACTCTGTCCGATTCGTTCTCGACGAAGGAGGCCTTCGGCGTTTCATAAGTCGAGAGAGCGTTCCGCAACATTTTATCCGCCGCAAGAATCCAATCCTAATGATAAACTGGATTAACGATTATTTGACAGGATTAAAATATCGCGCCGAATAATCGGAAATCATTATTTCGACGATTTCACTCGATATGAAATGTATTGGAAAATTGTATATAAAATTTTATATTATTATATAGGGTCGTTCTAAATAAGTGCGAAAAAGTTTAATGAATGATTCTTTGTTAAAAATTAAGGGGAATTTTCATATAAACATACATATTTTTCCTTATATTTCTTCCTGAGAAGTTACACTCCTCTGAAGTGTAAAAATGAAGTTTTTTATTTCTTTTCTCAAATTTTGGACATTTAAAAATGAAATTTGGTGGATATTTTCTATTAGTACCTATTTTTTAACGGAACTTGAATCTGATCATCGAAAAATATGCGTTAGAAAGCTTGATTCCTTTAGAAAATTTTTTATTTCTTTTATTTTTTTCGTAAAATCAATAGTTTCAAAAAAAAAAATAAAACCCTAATTTTTACATCCCTCTTTGGGAAGTGTAACTCCTCAAGAAGAAATACAGAAGCATATGTTTATATGAAAACCTCCCTTAATTTTTTACAAAAACATCTAAAATTGTTCACACTTATTTAGAAACACCCTGTATTATGTTATATATGTATACAATAAAATTTATATTTTCTAATAATATATATATTCTAATATATATAATACTTTACTATAAAATAATAAAAATATTGCATAAGGTAAGATAATAATTCTCTCGAAAAAATTTATATAGTAGTATTAGCTTACTAATTTGCTAAAATATTCGTGGTATTTTAATCCATTTAAATCCTTAATACTTTCTACAGTAGCGCAACATCGTATTTGCAAAGTTAATTAAATCTCATTGTCAGGTAGCGCGAATACAGGATCGAAAACTTTCGTCCGAGATTTAAGCGAGATTGAAAAGTTCCCACGGGCGCGAATTTAAAGGAGAGGTAGATTAAAGCGGTTCCGCCGGAAAGCATGAATCTCTACAAATTTAAAACACGCAGAGAGCCTCTTCTCCCATTATTATTAAATAAATAATAAATAAATATATATATATATATATTAGCAAATTAGTAAGCTTATACTATTATATATTTTTTCAAGAGAATTATTATCTTATCTTATGCAATTTTTTTTATTATTTATATTTATGATGGAGTATTTATATATGTATATTGGAATATACATATATATTATTGGAAAATATAAAATATATATATATATATAAAACATGATACAGGGTATTTTAAGTAAATATATATATCTTTATTATGATACTGACCTAATAGCCGCAGGACACGAGGTACTCGCCCAGTTTTTCAACGACAGATGCGGCCTGTTGAGGCTGTATGGGGTCCTCGTATAGGGAGACAACTACGGCTTGCGTCGTCTTCATGCAGTGCACGCCGATTTTGCCAAGTTTTGCCCTTATCACACGGTCCGTGCCCGACAGGTAGATGTACCTGCTGCCGGCTAAGGTAACGCCGACGACGTCAGGATGTCCTGCTCCTCGAAGCTCTGCACTAATTTCGCAAGCTCTTCTTTACTTACCTAAAAATAGAGAGAGAAAAGCCGGTTATTATCAGTGACGACGCAGTGACAACGTAATAACGCGCTTAAGCTTTCAGAGGAATGCAAATCCCGGAAGCCACCGATCATTTCCGTGTCATAAGAGAATATTATATTATTAATATTATTATTATTATGGAGATTACGACGGTGTCAGCATTCGTTCAGTTTAGAATAAAAAGGTTCCTTGATTTAAGCCAGACATATTTTTCGACTGAAAATCTGTTATTTCTCAAAATTAAGCGTAAAAATGTTATGCAAAATTAATATAAAAATTGTCCTCTTTTATATAAAAATTAATTAAAAATGATATACTCATAAAAAGTTGAAAATTGAATATTAATATAAAAAATAAAATATTAATTAATATTAAAATTAAATTAAAATTTAATAAATTGAAAATTAAATTATAACTTTTCTTCAGTAAAATTCCTAAACGAAGAAATAGTATGATTTAAAAGAGAAAAGAGAGAGAGAGATCGAGTGCGATAAAAATGTTCTTTGCTGATGTTATTATTAGCAAAATACACGTACGTCACGCTTACGACGTTATCTATTATTATATCACTGCAAACTTGATGTTGAATCTTGATTACGTGAGAGCAAGCACACCAGATACGCAAACAAACGATCGTCTCTCTTCATTCATGCTGAATACACACACGCATACAGGAATGAATTTGTATTGAAACCTAGATATTTAGAAACGCTACATTCTGTCTATTTTATTCTCGCGCAGATGCTTTCAAACCTTGAAAATGCATAAATAAATATCTGCACGTGTTGGTCTGATAAAGAATGCTTCATTATTCGATACAAGTTGTTCAATCGAATCGTTTCCACCTCACTTCCACGATATTACAAGAGACATAAACATTATTTCTAAAATAAAATATTAAAATAAAGATTTTTAAATAATTATTTGCGACTAAATAAACTTGTAATTTTAGCGAAAAAAATTAAAACCGAGATCTGAAGTATCTCAAGATTACTCGAGGGGCCGAGTTTCCATACGAAAAGTGCAATATCGTCCATGTGCATGCGAATGACATCACTATACAGAGTTTTCATAAGAGCAATATTCTCGTCATGATCAAAACCAACGTCATCTCTTCTCCCTTTCCACTTTTCCCCTTTTATCACTAACGCGACATTTTCTATTTGAAAATGAAAAATATCCTATATTCGTGAAAAGTTCAAAGTTCACTTGTATTCGCAATATTCGAGAAAAGGCACGTGTCATATGTCAAATAAATTCCGTGAAATACTATTTGATAATCTATTTTTCACACGTGTCAAGACGCAAACATTGTCCATATCTTCTATATTTTTTTTCTAAATCCAATACGCAAGATTTATGCATCATTAATTTGCGCGCAAGCAAATAATAGAAATGTCCCGCGATTACTTATCGTTGAATTAGCATAATGGTCTGTGCTTCATCTATAGTCATGAAATTATTGTTAATAATGTTATCATGCTAAAGAATCGTGCCTGACACATCGACTACTTGGAATATTAAGACGTCGAGTTTTTTCCACGATAGTATAAACCAAAAATTCCGATTAAATAACTTGTAATATAAGATGATTCGTAAAATATATGTTAAAAACTGAGACAGCTAATATATCATCTTAATAAAGGGATGAATATATCTTGTGCAATTACAATTTTGTATTTCGAACATTATTTTTATCTAAATAAAAGTTAAAGTTTCGTCGTCACGAAATAATTAATATGAATCGAGATAATGAAAAAATTAAACTTCTGTGACAATGGTGTTTTTTCCTATTATGAAGAAATCGTCTGCGAATTTTAAGAATTCGCTATTCAAGCGACGACGACACAGCTCTCTCCATCCGGTTTTATATACCATAGGTAGAAAAAGAATTTGCTCTTTTATTCATATCGACAAATGCGATAAGGAGACATTGAGAAAACTATCGCGACGTTTTTCTAGAATGGATTTTTTGAAAATGTCAAATATATATACGTGTGACATATTCGAGAAAGATGACAAATTTCGAAGTCAAATGTCTGAAAATCTCAATTGCCCCTTTAATCCCTTCATATTTGACAGATCAGCTGATATGGAGATAATGAACGATAAGAGAGATAATGAACGATAAGAGCATAATTTGCATCGATCGCGTATTAATGTAGCCGAATATATATATATAGAATTACACGAGTCCTTTTAATCCTGCACGGAGAGAATTTTCTCTTAGAACTTACTCTGAAAATCATGTAATTGTAGGAAAATGTGGTATTAGAAGAATTTTATAAGAGATATTCTCCGATTCATGTTTTACAATAAAAAATATTAATAGTAAATGCTACTATGTATATTGAAAAAAGTATTAAATTAATAAATATTTATTTCAATACTGCCTAATAAATAATTACTTGAAACAAATATTCATCTGTTTTGAAAAGGATTTTCTTATATCAAATAAATATTTTTAACATCAAATCAATATTATTAAGTTCAAATCAAATAAATTATTTATTATTGTAGTAGTAGTATTGAAATAAATATTTATTCAAATTCAATAAATTTTTCAGTGTACATAATAAAATTAACATACCGAACATATTTATATCTTATTGTGGTAGATTTTTATTAATCTTTTTATTGAGATAAATATTAATTAGAGAAACTAATAACATTCTTCTAATAACATATTGTCTCAAGATTATCATGATTTTCAGGATAAATTCTAAGAGAAAATTCTCTCTCTGCGTCGAAGTTAACATCTTAACGAGTTTCTCTCACTCGCAGCACAGAAGCTGAAGCTCGAGTTTTCAATCTTCTTCGATTTTTCAGTCACGAATTTAGAAAATAGATTTCTTTTCCACAAAGCTCAGGGGGAGTCGGAAAAGTCGATAAATTCCGTAAATAAGCGTCTCTTTTCCTCCTTGTAAAGAGCGCGAGATACTTTCAAGGGAGGCTATTCTCTCTCCGCAAAGAGTGACGTAGACAGATAGTGTCCGTGAAAGCGGATCGATGCGCGCCTAAATGTCGGCGGCGCGTTGCAGTTTAATCCGGGATGATCTAAGACAGCCTTGAACTATAAGTGCACCCGATACGAGCGTCTTTGTACGCGACAGGAGAGACCGTCGCCTTCTTTCTCATGCTCATCCTCACGCTTGAGGCTGGCTTTGTCGCGTCCCTCGCTCGCTATTTCCGCCGAAACGTCACGTTTAAATACTCCCGCGACCTCCAGTCGAACGTAAAGCGAAAAATACGTCTCCAGGATGTCCAGCAGACTCGAGAAAAAAATTCCCTGACTTTTTCATATTTTACAAGATTGGAATTTTTTTCTAAAAATTCTCTCGGTGCAGGATTAAAAGGACTCGTGTAATACTATATATATATATATATATATATTCGGCTACATTAAATATTCGGCTCTTATCGTTCATTATCTCCATATCAGCTGATCTGTCAAATATGAAGGGATTAAAGGGGCATTTTTTCCCTCACTTTTAGTATTATTTTTGCCAGATATATCTAATTTGCATCTATATGATAAATCAATTAAATGTTAAATCATGAAATCCTTGAGATATTTTTGTCAACAACGAAAAGGTTCGGAAGTTAAAAAAATAAAAATTTAAATCATATACAATCTGCATTACGTACGATAATCGAAACAAACATGTCATTATAAACTATTTAAATAATCACCTTTTTTATTTATATTATATCACATTTTTTAGTTTCGTCTCTATCAAACACGCACTGAAATAAAATAACACGACGATGAAAATATAAATGAACGAACACGCTGTAGATGAATCGATTTTTAACAACACGGAAAATTAGCGTGCTGGCAGTCAAGGAAAAGTTTATATTTATTTAATAAAAAATTTCAATTATTGAGATAAATGTAGAATATTGTGAAAAAATCCAGATAAATAGTGAAATTCCCTGACAATGTCCAGATTTTCCTGATAGACCCTGGTCTCGCAAAAGTCGGACAATTCTTGACAAAATCCAATCAAGTTATTTTCTCTCGAGTAACAACGCTTTATTCTTCGGTCAATTTCACGTAACAGAACTTGCTTTCGCGAAATATTGATTTATCGCTAACAATAAACTCTCTATCTATATATATATAAATATATAAGATTAATAATTAAAATAGATAAGACAAGCTTTTTTCATTAAGGAACGAAATTCGCAATCGAAACTTGAAAGTTCTTATCTGCGATAATTTATATGCATATAAAACAAAAAAGGCTCTAAATACGTCAATAGGATAATCAAGAGGGCTGATATAAAATTTAATTAACAATAAGCTTTCTCTATCTATATACATAAATACATGAGATTATTTAAATAAAATGGATAAGACAAGCTTTTTCAGAAACGAAATTTGAGAAAGTTCTTAACTGCGATATTTATATACAAAATAAAAAGGCTCTAAATATGTCAACAGGATAATGAAGAGGGCTAATAAGAGATTTAATTTAAAAATTAAATAAATATTAATAAATTAATTAATAAATATTGTCTAAATTATTTAACAGTTTTTTATTTAAGCTTTTGTCTTGCATTTGCCTATTATTAGCCCTTTTTATTATCCATTCTATTATTTGTATATAACTTGAATCAACATAGGATTAATCGAGAGAGAACTTTTGCACTTCTCTCACAATACCGTCAGAAAGGAGGTCATCTCTCCTTATTCTCACGAGGATTCTCTTAACGTGTAATGTATGAAAATAAATCTCGTTTTTTTTTTAATTTTCTTTCTCCTTGATATAATTTTTGCATTGTTTGCACGGAATTCGCTTCTTGTTCTTCTCCTCACGAGATGGGTTTAATTCCTTTTTAATGCCACTTATTATCGTCCGTTTTGGTACAAACGTTTATGAGTCAGAACTATGATTACGTTTTTCCTT